ATTTTTACAATTTTCTCTCTCTTTTAAAATAATCCTCTCTTTAAATTTTCAATATAAAATTTTGCATAGATATATCAAATATAACAAATACCAACGCTCAACTTGTTTTTAACATGTTTTTATGTAAAAACGCTAAAACGATATTTGTTATAAAACAGAAAATATACTTTTTGTTAATTATGAGGGTTAAGAGAAAAATATTGTCTATTGTTTGGCACTAATAAAAAAATGGTTAGAAAATTTAAAATTGACCTGCATCATGAAATTTAATTGATCTAATCAGGATCAACAAATAAATTCGGGTTGAGTTTTTTCAAATAAAAAAATCAAAACTTTGAAGATCTTCCTTCAAACTTTCAAAGAAGTCAAGTCAAGTCACGTGTACATGTATATTTGTACAGAGTCTCAAAAATACTCATGACAAATCAGATAATTCCAAGTTTACGACTTAGCTCGATGACCATAAAAGTTAGAACAAAATCTCGTATATCACGGAGAGAGGAGAGACTATCATCTTCACAATAACTTAAAAAAAAAGATACCAACCGAACCTAAAATTCTTGAACTTTGTCGGTGACACCTTAGCTTTAGCTGATGAGTTTGGGACTAACTAATGACCGTTGATGGTGATGAAATAATGATTTGTTGCCTAATTACATAAATTGTAATTATACCAGACCGAATAAATTGTAATTATGCCTAATTACATAAATTGTAGTTAAACCAGAACCGAATAAATTGGTTTGGAAACTTCGACAAACTAAAAAAGAACACATTCGTGGTTGCATCATAAGGAGAGCACGTGTGTTGACTTTGGAGTAAACGGATTGAAACGACTTCTTTCTAATATGTCAAAACGATATATTATTATCCACGAAGATGCCATTACACATATCCTCCAACCACTTCATTTTTCTTTCTTCTTTCTTGTAGAAAATAGCGACTATAATGAATACATCTAGGAGACTAGAAACTCTTTTTTTTTTTTTTATTATCTTGAATTCTTGTAATTTTAGCAAGATAATCCATTAGAAAATTGGTATAATTAGAAGTATATACATTTTTATATACTATCCAAGAAGTATAAACAGTATTTACCAAATATTTTTTTAAGTATTTGAAATAAAATATCTATGATCTTATTTTGTAAAGACCTTCAAAAAGATCATTAATTTCTTCGGTATTAAATATTATTTATTTATATTTTTGTTTCAAAATGAGTATTTTTTTTTATGATTTCAATGTAACTTTTGTTAGAAAATAACGTTTGCCCCTAATTAAATTGATAAACATGTAATATATATATAATTCCAATAGTCAAGCAATTGCACGATAAGACATTGAATATTTTCTCTTAATTCGTAAAAAAATGTCAAAATGATACTTAATTTGAAAAAGAAATGTTATATTAGACTTGACTTTTGTCTTTCTAATGTTTGATCTCATCTTGATCCATAATTTTTTTATTAATATATATATCAAAGTCAAAACAAAAAAAAAATAATCTTTTGTTGTCATGCCATTATGGAAATTATATAGAAGTTGTTGTTTAAAAAAAATTAAAATGGTAACTCTACATATAAATTTATATTCCCTCTGTCCCAAAGTATAAGATATTTTAGGGTTTTTATTTTGTTCTATATTATAAGATTTTCTCTAGTTTTTATGTAAAATTTAATATGTTATGGTCATTAATATTCTGCAGGATGTTTTCTAATTAGTTGATTTATTTGTAATTAGATATTAAATAATGATTTAATGTAAAAAACAAAATAAAAACTAATATTTATATCATTCTTAAACTCCGCGCTTTTATCTAAAAAATTCTATATAATGAAACAAAGGAAATAATAGTTAAATATTTTTTTAAGCAATTTATTTATAATAACACATGTCTATG